GCAAGATGAAGTGGAGGTCATTACAATCAGCAGTTTTCTTTGTTCACTGGTCCATGTAGCTGTCCGGTTCTCCAGAGCACACACGCTACTGTGCATGCATGAATAGGAACTGTGTGACCAAGCACCTCCTTCACCTCAGTATCAACTAGAAGCCACCGCTCATGGGTTCGCCAGGAACTGCCCAAAACATCCGACCCGGCACTATTGGAACTGACAATGCAGAAAGGGTTAGCTACCTCTGCCCATGAATTGAGTATATTCCTGTCATGAGTACTAGGCAACAGCAGATTGAGACCTGGAGCATATGTATATCCACTCACCCCATCCCGATCTGCGACCAAACTCCAGAGCACATTTCTGCTGAATACTAGTACGCAGGGCAGGCAGTGACAACGGGGGAAGACGGAGGACTCTGGTGAATGGATACTGTATCTGCTACACAGACCACTCAGCACCATGGTACTGTCCCGCTCCCCCCCCCCCCCCCCCAGTTGTGTGAGGCTTGCATTGCACTGAGCATGCATGCCTGCCCACAGTGATCGGACACTCTCACATGCACCCCAGCTAAAACACGTCTGAAAGACAGTTTCGGTGATAAATAGATCCAAAATAGACCACAGTGCCAACTGCCATAGATGATAATCCACAAAAACCCTTCATGCAGTGCGCCATAACAACACACAGCAGGCTGCACGCACTTCAGACGTCACAAGGAAAACTTGTCGTTGCAAGCCGGAAGTACAGAACCACCATTTTGATAAACTGAATTGCGACAGTACCCATGCAAGGTTGAACAATAGTAAATTCCGACAGGCATCTAGGAATGGCAGACAATACTCTCCTTTCTCGTGATAAGCAGGTATGCTGACGTTGAGCTGAGCTAACTGAATCTGTCAATATGGATGGTCACCTGCAACCGACGCTGCACTACTGACCGACAGCAGACACTACAACAAGCAAAGGAGAGCATGTCGCTACGGACGGTGCCGAAAGCGCCCTCTCTCTCGGCTATCTCCGCAGCTAAGCTTGCCGCCGACACGACAAGAAACCAAGAGATGACTAGACACCATGCGTACACCGCTCAGTGCGGGACAGCAGGCTGTTGCGTCTTCCGCTTCACGCCACTACAGCGTTGTCAACATGCCAGGCAAGAAATGCTTTGATATGGTGACACGGACAGTGACAGCTTCAGCGTGCCTCCCGTTCTCAGGGGTGAAGGTCAGGCTCTTGAAAACAATGTCTGTCAGCCTGTACATTAATATACTGGGGGGGGGGGGGGTATTCTCGTGTCATTGTACTGGTGTTAGACGGCCAAGTCCTCCACGTCGTCCAGACTTACACTCCTCGAAGTGTGGAGCTTGTTGAAAAGTTGAAATCTGATCCCACAGCGAGCAAGTGGTAGTGCATGCATGGCGGTACTTCAGCCACTCGGAAACACAGAGTTCTGTGTGCCTACACCTCGTACTTCTCACGTCGTTATCACCAGCGAAACAATCCTCCGGCACACCCATAACGAATGTTGCCAAACACATCAACATACATGCTGACTTGAGAATGACGTGTGTAGAAAATATCCGATTACACACAATAATTACTATCAAGGGCCTTAGCACTCAGAACGGTCCTGTAAAGCAGATAAAACACACCGTCCCTGCCACAGGGAAATTGCTTGCTTTCTCCTCAGTCATTTAATGCGTAATTCACATGGTTTTCATACTATACTCTTCAAAGATCTTGTCAATACCTACTTTTGTGTCAACAACTTTCTATAACTCATTCCAAGCTACGGTTGAAATGTAATTTGAGAGAGAGAGAGAGAGAGAGAGAGAGAGAGAGAGAGAGAGAGAGAGAGAGAGGGCGCGGAGAGAGAGAGAGAGAGAGGGCGCGGGAGAGAGAGAGAGAGAGAGAGAGAGAGAGAGAGAGAGAGAGAGAGAGAGAGAGAGAGAGAGAGAGAGAGAGAGATAGAGATAGAGATAGAGAGAGAGAGAGAGAGAGAGAGAAGAAATGAGAAATCAGGACTACGAAGGTGGGATGCCCACACTCGCTCCCACTCACACTCTGGTTTCAAGGCAAAGCACAACACACTCCACGTATAGGCTAGGGTGAGAACATACCATTTCGAGATAAAAATACCTCCATCCCACCACAGAGACACAGAGGTGTATTCCTCATCATGCCTTTAGGGACACAGATCTGTGATTCAACTTGGCTGCAGGGCCCCCTGGTCTAGGAAGAGTGCCTTCCAGCTGCTGCAACTGACACCATGTGCCCACTGATGAACTCTTTAGAACGCGGGGTGTCCTTTGCCCCAACGTGGAATCACTCACTCACTCACTCACTCACTCACTGGCCGGCGGGGTGACAGCACTATGCATGCCTTATCACCACCGACCACTTCCTGCCCGCTCATTACTGTGTTTGGCAAGCAAAAAACTAAGTTTCCTTGGTGCAAGCAGGTACAGATAGCAATGGTTACATGAATGCTTGTACCGTGGTCATGTCACCTTACTGACCCGATAACAAGGTACACGCAATTAGCAATTAGTAACTCTATTTGTGATAAAGTACCCCGTGCTGTCACAGATTGCAGCCAATCCAGCTAGGCTGCCACAAGCCAGCAAGTCAAGCACAACAGGTGCGGGGGGGGGGGGGGGGGGGAGATATACTGAACAACTAGAGAAGGAAGAGAAAGCGGCTGTTCCATGCACTATTCCTGTGCCCCAACTTGCCCAAGTCTGATTATTCAGGTCACGTGCACACTATAATAGTATAATCACTATACCAGCTGGCCTGGTCATTGACAATGCTCACTTCATGTATGACCAACGACTGAATCCACATGCACACACACGTGCACACGCACACACACACGCGCACGCACGCACACACAGCCACCGCGATGATCACCACCTCTGCTGCCACCAGTACTACCGTATTTCCCCGTAAGTTAGTTCCTACTAACTTTCGAATTTAGCAGCCACATGAGTACTAACTTTCGGGGGTGGTACTATCTTTCGGGGGGGGGGGTACTTTTATCGGGGGGGGTAAATGACACGCAGTGGGAAGCCTGCGCAACTCTAGTGTCCGTGCATATGATGTATGTACTGTACGGTGTCTGTACATGTAGGACGGGTACGAACTTACTATCTTTCGGGGGGGGGGGGGGAACTGTCTTTCCGGGTGATAACCTCGGCAGTGGAAAGTGTATTTTTTATAGGGGGGTACTAAGTCATGGGGGAGAACTAACTTATGGGGAAATACGGTACTACTAGATTCTGGTCAAATTTTAGAACGTGGAATTTGCTCGCCTACACCTTCCAAACTGTTTCTCTCTCTCTTTCTCCATGCGTACTTCCTTTCTGAAAAACATCACCTCTTTGAACAAGCAATTAGCTGTAGGATCTGTGAACAACGCAAGTACATACAAGATACCATCATCTAATGGAATACGTACTTCAGTTTTTCCGTGTATGGAATTCGCACTTGCCGAGTCGGCTTCGCACGTTTGCTGTGTCAAGCCCAGGTCACGTCACGCTCAGTGTCCAGCAAGATCGAAAAATAGATAGCGCATGGTCGATCATTGACACGATTTTACCGCTAACACGTACCTCGTCAGATTGCCACAAATCAAGCTTTTCACAGAGACGCACCGCAGTGCTAAAAACGCCGCTTGCGTTTCCTTGAGCCAGATCACTATTTGTGCGTTCCCGCTCCTGAGTTCGGTCGGAGAGGATAATACTAATAGTAACGACTATTTCCATGTATCGCGTGGCGATCAGGAGAGGCAAGAGTTTTCTCCGCGCTCTATGGCTGCGCTGAGGATGTGTGTGCGTGTCGAGGTCAAGTCACTTGGTTCAACTCGAGAACTCTTGACAGGAAAGAGAAGGAGTCCGGGGACCCATGACGTACAGTCCCACTAGCATTTCTCACCATTTACTCCTCAGTAACTTAGTTAGACCAGTCGACTAGCGCTATAGGGTAGTATAGCCACGCGTACACTGGCCTCTCTCTCTCCGTTTTTTCTTATCTCCGCTGAGCAAGCGCTTCTGCCCGACAGCGAGCTGTCAATCCCGGTGGCAATACACACAGTTACGACAGGACTGCTCGCGGCCAGCACCCCTGCAGAGTCAGAAAACTGTCCCCGAAACCTCCCGACGACTCTATTCACAAAGATTCACCAACTGACAGTTCCGCACTGGCGCTGCACGAGATCTATGCAGAAGCTTCACACCCAGCTCCGCAGACCTACCACATCGACCTGCACGATTCCAATCAACGACGTCAGTCTCACGCCGGCGCTTTCGCAGAGAAGCCTTCTTTGACAAAATTAAATAATAATTGCACTCATTTCCAGGTGAATGAATGGAGCAGAGTGAAGCCAAGCCTCCAAGTACAACCCATATTGGACAGAAGACGTCGGACAAACAAGAACAGCTCGCGAAAACGGTGACACTCTCGAAACCCCCTCCTGGCAGGTTGCACAGACCTCATCGCCTCCTTTCCTAGATTTCCGCGCCCGTGCTTGACCAAACGAGAACATTATGGGACCGTGGTGCGTTCGAGAGAGCTTGAGACACGAAACATGAAATAGAAGTACCTGCACACCCGATCTCCGGCGTGTATTTACAACACAAGCCGAACATCTACACGACTTACACGGCTGTCACCAGTACACCAAATCATGGCACACAGACAGCACGGGCTGTTCGATCGTTCGGCCCTTCCTTGACGGTCGGGAACCAAATACATGACCGTATTCACAATGACTGTCAGGATCTGATGTTACAGTATTGTAACATGATCATTTTGTCCCAAGTAGATCTACAGGACTAGACCCATCGCTGTAGTGTACACCTGGTAGATGTCTACACGCAATGATGTAAATACTACGTACTTTACCGGAATACAAAACGATACCGTTCGCACTGCACAGATACACGCACATGCATTCAGAAACTCGCACCATATCGGCATTATTGAAATCAACACTTCGCTCTCACCTGTTTGGTACCCAGCTTGCTGCATGCGAACTCCGATCGTCTTGTGCTCGATGTTCTTCTTCCAGAACTCGCCATTGCACTCATCGTTGTTGGTCAACGCTCCATGGTTGTGCGCGTACAGACCGCTTAGCATGGACGATCTACTCGGGCAGCAAACAGGCGTGGTGACGAACGCGTTCTCGAATATTGTGCCGTGTTTGCTGAAATACTTGAGCGTATTGTTCAGCGCCAAGGGCACCGATCCCAGACGCTCGTCCAGGTCGTCTGCCAGGACCAGAAATATATTGGGCTTGGGCTTCGGCGGCGTAGGTCCGTTCGCCGACGTCGCAGCCGGACAGCTCAGTGTTGAAAAGAAGAAGAAGAGAGTCAGAAGGCAAGCTGCCACACTGTCTACTTTGACATAGTACATCTTGCCAGCGAAAGGAACTCGGAAAAGGAATTTCCTAGTGCAATATGCACTAACTTTTCTTGGTGCTGAACTGTCGACAATCAATGGGTCAAATCGAACATACAATTAGTTGATAGTAATGATTATGACCACGAGAAAAAAGCACAGGCAACTGTTTGCCCCCGGAGCTCCCACGCCTCAGAGCAAACCTCCTTTTATGCGATGTAGAATCGTGGCTGCCGAGTCGTAGCCTTGATGTGGGCGAATGGGCTGAACTCAGAGCTCCGCAGCGCAGCCGAAAAAATGAAGTCACAGTGAAACGAAGTTGTCGCGTGCAGACACGCACTCCACATGGCGCATATATGGCGCTTCTGTTCCTTGACGATTTGAGCGTACACTCGCTCTACGTGTTCCGCGGCCCGTCTCGACGCCTAGATCTACGCGTGCAGCTCGATCGAGGCCACTCGAAAAATGTGGCCACACAGGATGTTTCCCGGCCCATAGAAAGCAGTTTGAGGTGGCCCGCAGCTGGTGGCGCGTGACGGCCGAAACACAAAATTCATGTCGACCTGCTCGACCGCTCAGTAACGGAACTAGCACACTGTACTAACTCAGTTGTGAACTTGTGACGTTGTGTAGACCAACTGGCTAGCTGTGCAATGACTGCTCGTAGTGGATCTAGTACGCGAGTCACGGCTGCTAGATTACTGTGTGAGCAGGTCTACATTTTTACTTTTTAGCTCTTCAGATGTAGGTGCTTGCACCGTGCGGCGATCAAAGACGACGGGCTAGGGCTAGCAGAAGCAGACCAAGACACACGAGGCCCTAAAAGAACATCACCTCTTGCAATTATTTTATAATGCACATACCGTCGCTGCCAATCACATGATAATATTATTATTATTGTTACGGCCACGGTAGTCTTCTGAATGGCTACCTCCGCGGCATTGGAGCTCTCTGTCGCACCCTGGAATAATAATATCAGTGTTTTCTGAAGAATAAAAAAAATTATGCTGCAAAGTAGAAAATTGTTTTTAATTAACAACCAGGCAACGGGTTAACCCGCGGCGCTTGCGAACAATGAGCAGGGAGCAGGGAGGAGTGCAGGACTCCCTGAAGATTGACTTGAGAGGCGAGGGGGGAATACTCGTACTCTACAGTCCAGGAAGTACTTTGCAGGAATCAATAATAATAATAATAATGATGATACTGTATGGTCAGGCCCGACTAATAATACGAGAGTCCTTCCGGACAAATTTAATAATATTGATAGAAGGAAACACAAGCTGTGTTGCTAAACCCTTGCACAGAATGCTCAATGCCACGAAGGCAGAGTTTGTTGTCTGAGGGTCGGTGGATAGCCATGAAACTCCGAGGCGCTTGGGAAGGTAGAACCCCTACACACCACGTTTACTCAATAAGTTGATTTCGACTGACTGGAAGTTCATCATTGTCACAAGTTCAAGAATGTTTTGCATTGTATTTGTATTTTATTATTTTACTTGGGCATTCCCAACAGAGAATCATCAGAGTGTAGAAAATGAGTAACGAATAATAAAATGTATAGCGGGGAGTGAGAATAACAAGGATGCAGTTTACAGGGTTATGGGCCGTTACACGCCCGATTGGTTGAGAGACTAACCTCCTCTCCCCTGACTCACTTGTGAGGTCTGCATTCGCCACTAAGAGGTTAACAGGCATAGTGGTGGCCTGCGGATGCGAAGGCTAGTTTGTGTGTTTCTGAACATTCAAGCGATGCCGACGCGGATCCCGCGAATATTATAATAAAATGTATAGCAGGGTCAACTCGCTTGACCAGTGTATCTATAACACAAGTGAGCCCCCCCCCGCACTCAGTCGCACATCTGACTGCAAAATCCCCCCGACGCACGCTCACCAGATCAAGGACGGTGTGGGTTCCTAGTCTAGGTCCTCAGCACTCAGTAGAGTCTAGTCGAGCGAGCTGCAACTCCCGGTGCCGAAAGGCGGGCTCACGCCCCGACATGGCTACTTGGCCTTGTCTAACCCCCAACTCCCAAGACGAAATGATAGTAGCCGACTTGCCGAAATTATTTTTTTTTAAATAATATAACACAAGTAGGCCTAGGGGTGAGCGGATTATGCTGGGGAAATGACTAGATTATGCTCTAGCGGATGCTCGCAGGATGCTGGAGAAAACAGCAAATTCTGCTTCACCAAAAAGACCAAAAGAACAGATCATCGTCATGAAAAAAAGGACTCAGACCATTGTCATTATTATTATTATTATTATTATTATTATAGACAACACCTCATGGCATGAGAAGAAAATCAGCCAGTACGGGAGATGTGGGTGTTAACCAACCATGGTGAATAAAAGAAGAAAAGTAATGGTCAAGACGGAGAAGCATGGGAGGGACAGGTGATGGTGAATCTAGTGAGCAGATTTAAATGCGTCCAGGGTACTGGCATTGCGCGTAGTAGCGGGCAGCGCAAGCCAAGCAGAGTAAGCAACAAAGAGTGGAGAGCGTACAAGGGAGGACGTTTTAGCCAAGGGGAGGGCAACAGAGCATCTTGTCTGGGAGCCATCTGTGATTCGGAACCAGTTATACACGTTAAGATGAGGAGGATGTAGAGCTAGTTTAAATTTGTGAGCAAAAGTGCAAATTAATTTTTGACGGTGGGTCGACAGTGGGCAAGCATTTGCAAGGACATACAGGGAAGCAGAAGGGTAGAGAGGGGGTAGACTAAACAGGATACGAAGAAGTTTTCTATGGTGGATTTCGAGATGCTCAGCGAGAACCGAGGACAAGCCACACCAGCTAACAGCAGCGTACATGAAAAGAGGCAGGATGTACAGTTTGTAAAACAAAATTTTACATTTGAAAGGAAGATGGAAACAATGGGGACGTATAACACCTAGGGCAGAGCTTGAACGGCTGCAAAGAGCATCAATATGGAAAGACCAAGAGAGACGATCATCAAGCATTATTCCCAGGTGTTTATGGTTGGAAACAACCTTTATGGGTTCTGGGAAATCAGGATGGTGTAAAAGTGACATGGATGAGATTGGGGGAAGGAACATTATTTCGGTTTTAGTCAGGTTGGGTCTAAGTCGCCATGTTTGCATCCAGCGTAGGACACTGCATATCTGAGCCGACACTCGAGGTACAAGAGCCGCTGAGGACGAGGATGCTGACAGTAGGGTTGTATCATCAGCAAATAACGAGACACCTGGGTCTATAGAGGGTAAATCATTTACGTATGCTACGAACAAAAGAGGTCCAAGTATGGAGCCTTGGGGAACTCCAGAAGACACTGGTAGAGGATCAGAGTTGATGGAGAGGGCAGAAACAAACTGTGATCGGCTACTCAGATAGGACTCCAGCCAGGACAGAGCAGGGCCAGACACACCAAAGACAATATGTAGCTTGGCAAGGAGGCCACGATGCCAGACAGTATCAAAGGCCTTTGCCAAGTCAAAGAAACAGAGAGCAATATGGTGTCGAGCATCACGAAGGGTGGCAATGTCTTGTACTAGACGAGCTAGTTGGTCAGAGGTTGAGTCGTTGCGCCGAAAGCCAGATTGGGAAGGTGTCATGATGTGGACTGGGAGCTTTGTGGAAGTACAAGACAATAACATGCCAGAGGAATACCAAAATCACAAGCAAACACTGAACGTTTGGGGGATGTCCTATATAGTGGCTGCCAATATTATTATTCCAAATCGACAAGAAGCGCTATGCATGGTCCTTCAATAGCAGGTGTGTATATAACAGCCTCATTGGGCATCTGCCCTTGTTTTTCGGATGCCATTCGTTATACTCCTTCTCAAAAAGGACCTGATTATGCCAAAACTTACGCCGGTATAATCCGCTTTAATACCCCTAAACACAAGCGGACCCACTAAAGCCGCTGGGAGCCCAAAGAGGCGTAGGGGTAGGGGTAATTGAATTAGTGTTTTAGAAATGTGTCAGGTGAGTCGGTGGAGCTCAAAATGGCGCGCATGTTTATTATGATCCGTGTTTGGAAGTGTCCATACGAAGGTTTTGTTTTGCAGAGCTCACTGACTTGTTTGTTTGAGCACTCTGGCATGCCGGAAAGGTACGTTCGGGCCTGGTTTAAATCTGGCTTTGAACATGTTTTCATTGCTATCAGGTTCGGCCTCATTTTCTCTGTGCAGTGCTGATGAGTCCACAAAGGACGAAACAGTTCTGTCCGCAGATTGAGTATACATGTATATGAAGATATAATATTTTTTATACAACGATCTGTATTGTTTGATCGTTTTCATTTTCGGATATTAAAGACTGGAAGTCAAGTGTCAGTGGATAAATGCTTCAATGAAAAGATTCCAATAAGTTTTGGCAGTGTCAATCCAAAAATGGACACCATCAAACATAGATTGTTGGGTACATGTACTCTTGCTACTGAAGTACATACAATTAATATTCATAAGTTGGGGGAATTTTTTTCCCTTTTAGCTTGCCGTGGTTGGCTATCACCTGACCTCTCATGTTTATTGGCAGTCTTCGGACGGGCCAGGAGATGTTGAATAAATAAATAAATAAATAAAGAATGGAAAAGGAAAAGAATTCTGAAGAAACAATTGACTGCCATGCCACCAGGAATCGAACCAGGGCTAGCTAGGGCCGGGGACGTTCGCATGAGGCCAGCGAGATGCTCTGACCACTGAATTATGGTGTACTTGAAGTAGCTGTCATCTCAGTACTCGGAGTCTCCTACTCTTTCCTAACTGTTAGACTTTGGTGCCATAGGCCTTATCTCGTCCGACTTTCTCCGTCTCTCTCTCCACTACCCCACCTCTTTCTTGGCATGCTTCTTTGGTCTCGTCTCATCCCCTTCCGGCTAAACCCGAATTGTCGTGCCTCAGCGCTTCAGTGTTTGTGTCGTTTCAGTAATGTCCGTAAATAAAGTATGAAATCCTCAGGGAATATAGCAGACTCAGCAGAGGACGTTCAGGTTGGTTTTAACTCTGAGTTTCATGCCAAATCCTCAGGGTTATAGCAGACTCAGCAGAGGACGTTCAGGTTGGTTGTAACTCTGAGTTTCATGCCAAATCCTCAGGGTCTATACTCATACCATAGGTATCAGGTTAACGTTTCCCGCCTGAACAAATAATAATTATTGTACCGTGTATGCAAAGGTACATGCGGTTTATGTACTCTTGGTGTAAGTTATAGCATTCCGCCTTTTGCATGCATTTACTACAAATCATCAAAACCCTCATCATCATCATCATCATCATGTGACCAAGCCGCTTTTACGGGCAACAATATTATGAATATAAAACGCAAGGTATTGTAAGAGCAATTTTCTGAAAATAATGTTAATCATCATCATCATCATCATCATCATCATCATCATCATTCGACAGAACCAGCGCTGCAACCTCTTTCTGGTGAGAGGTTTCCTCTTCGGTCAACGAACCGCCGAGAGGATGCGCGCCTGGACATAGCCGCTCGAGGGTTTTGGACCCGTGGGGAGGAAGCTTTTTTTTGATTTAAGGGTATTTTGCCCAGATGCTCCTTCCTACGGGTCCAGAACCCTTCCTGCATTGTACCAGCAGCACGAGCGGCGTAAGTGGAACGAATATGGGCCAAGAGTCACAAATGTAGAAAGAGCCGCTTTCACACCTCTCGTGTTCTCTGTGCATGGTGGTTGTGGGAGGCTGTGCAATGTGTTCCTCAAGAGACTGTGCCAGATGCAGGCCGAGTCATCGGGATCTCACTATTCCCAGGTCATTGGTTTACTCCGCTGTCGGCTGTCTTTTGCTTTGCTGCGTGCTGCTGTGTTGTGCATACGTGGGGCTCGGTCACGGTACCACCATCCGGCGAGTTGTTTTCATGATGTCTCGATTGCCGTGGCCGAGTCAGGTCTAGTTTGTTAAGTATCGTGCTGTGTCCTGACTGTGCATGCGGGATTGGTATGGCGCTTACCCTTTTGTTGCTGTTTTGTTGCTTTCATGCCTTTAAGCATGTAATTGTGTTCAATTGTTGTATTTCATGGAAAAACGATCTTTGCGTTGGATTCATTTAAACTATTATTTGTGTAGGGTTCCACTCCTTCATCTTGGGAAATTGTGTTTTGTTTGCCCAAAGAAGTGGCTTCATCATCATCAAAAAAAAAAAAAAAAAAAAAAAAAAAAAAAAAAATCATCATCATCATCATCATCATCATCATCATCATCATCATTGGAAACGGCCTCTTGTACGGGCTTGAAACGGTGATAACCGAGATTATGTGCAAAAATCGTGATAGATATTCAGGTAAAATATGACATTTAACAGTTGAATGATTATTACCAAATAGATATTCAAATGCTGATTATTTTACCAGATAGATATTGAATGACAGATGATGTTACTTTACCAAATAGTTATTTAAAAAATGTGATGTTATCCATAGTGATATTGTTGAGAGGCATAGCATAAAAATTCACTATGCGGCCAAACGACACTGGGCCACAAAGGAATTCACCCGCCGTCTGTTATAAGACCCTCGGCAACCACGAAAGCACGTAATGGCCCACCTCAAGAGGCAAAACGACATCATCATCATCATCATCATCATCATCATCATCATCATCATCACATGATCATCATCATCATCATCATCATCATCATCATCCACACCTCTCGTGTTCTCTGTGCATGGTGGTTGTGGGAGGCTGTGCAATGTGTTCCTCAAGAGACTGTGCCAGATGCAGGCCGAGTCATCGGGATCTCACTATTCCCAGGTCATTGGTTTACTCCGCTGTCGGCTGTCTTTTGCTTTGCTGCGTGCTGCTGTGTTGTGCATACGTGGGGCTCGGTCACGGTACCACCATCCGGCGAGTTGTTTTCATGATGTCTCGATTGCCGTGGCCGAGTCAGGTCTAGTTTGTTAAGTATCGTGCTGTGTCCTGACTGTGCATGCGGGATTGGTATGGCGCT